TTAAGTAACACATACACACACGCACTCGAACACAGACGCACGTGTTGCTCACACTCATACAATCATATCGCACGCATTTTGTCCACGTCATTGAGAGCTGTGTGTCGCGTGTGTGTGTTGCCAGTTAACCAAACCCCGCTTTATAGAATCGAAAGCGCCTCGTCGGTATCGATATTGAGATTAAGCTATGCATGACATTCGCAGCTTAATCTCTTGCTTACCCTAAACTCGGTTCTATTGATCACCTCTTATCAAGATTAAAGTGCGCAGCTTTCTTAGTTTTGAAAAGACGTTAGAAGTTACAAACTACTTTTTTTAAAATACAAATAATATTTTCTCGAAATCTTTAACAACAACCACAACTACTACTACTACTACTACTACTAATAATAATAATAATAATAATAATAATAATAATAATAATTATTATTATTATTCTTTATGCTGTTGAAAACGTTCTGCCTAAGTGTAGACTTTATTTAATTCTTGATATGAACTCGATACTGAAATCGTAGCATTAACTCGTCAATAGGCCTACGTTAACCATTTTTGGAGGGATGGTCAAACCGGAAGTCAATGTAGAAGTCGAGGGAGTATTTATTATTTGATTTGATTATCTTACTGACATGCGTTTAAGTTACAATGGGGATGATATTGGTCACTTTACCAAAAGAGAACTAGCTTGTTATAGGGTGTAAATAGGTAGATCCTAGAAAAAATGCAAAAACTGCTTCATGAAAAATGTAAATGATAATATGGGGGGCACGTCCTAACAGGCTAAACTAAACTACCGTGACCAGGACAACTGGGATCAAGTTTATTCAAATTTTTATTAAAAATGAATAATGTTAAATAAACAGTCAAATCCGTCTAAGACGACCATCTATTGGCCATGACAAAAGTTGTCATCCTTGGCAAGCGGTCCTCTTGGACAGTTAGTAACATGTCATTATAAATACAGATACAAAGTTAGTAGTAGAAAGTTGTCGTTTATATGGGAGATTGCCTTGTACGTGGGACGCTCAATTTTCAAAACAATCAGGAAACGACAAATGCAGTTTTTGGGACACATAAATAGACATAAGGGTCTTGAACATCTGGCTCTCACTGGCAAGATTGAGGGCAAGCGAGGCAGGGGCAGGCCCAGAACAACATGCTTAGGGAACCTAAACAAATGGGTAACAGGGAAAGACCAGGGAAACGTAGCTTTTTTGAGAGCATCCGAGCAAAGGAATGAAAGAAAAACCGTGATCGCCGATGTCTGTCGCAGATCTGGCACTGGACGATGTCTTGTACAGGTGGTGGTCGTTAGAGCAGTTTTGTTTGTATATATATATAGTACCTCAGTTTACCTGTTGAATTCGCGATGAAGCTCCCAAAAATATAATTTAGTGGTTGCTTGTTCTATACTTTGTTTTTGGTTTGGTTTTTTTTTTCTTTTTCTTTCTATTTTTTGCACCCTTGCGAATGGCGCACATTAACCTTAAGCACACATTTCTTCTTTGATTTCTCGATCACGTTCTCTCTCACACACGGGAACAAACAAATGCAAACTGCAAACACACACACATACACACACAATCACATACACACATACACACATAAACACACACACACACACACACACACACACACACACACACACACACACACACACGTACACTCACACGAATACGCATACACCCCCTTCCCGTACACTCATTCTCCCTCCCTCTCTCTCTCTTTCTCTCTCTCTCTCTCTCTTTCTCCAACCTCTCTCTCTCCCTCTGTCTCTCTTTCTCCCACCCCCCTCTCTCTCTCTTTCTTTCTCTCTCTACCTTCCCCTACCCCCCTCTCTGTCTCTCCCTCTCTCTCTCTCTCTCTCTCTCTCTCTCTCTCTCTCTCTCTCTCACTCTTTCTTTCTCTCTCTCCCTCCCTCGCCTCGCTCTCCCCTCCCCCCCCAACCCTCTTTCACACAAACAAAACACATGCGATAAAGCAACCGCCCTCATCGTCCAACCGCCAACCTGCTATATCGGACTTCAGGGGAACTAATCTCCTGGGCACACATCCACATAGCAACAAAAACCGTGGAAAACTCCCGCAAAATGGCAACGTACTCCCTCCCTTATCTCATTCCACAGGTTCTATCAAACAACTATGGCGCTATCAGTCAGTGAGGGTGGGATCGAGGCTCGCTTTGATTCATCTTTATGAGGAACAGAAACGGGGCCTTGGAGGGTGCGATGGGCGAGATAGATTAACCAACGAGCGGAGAGCTGGGTATCTACTCATATAAGATAGATAGATAGATAGATAGATAGATAGATAGATAGATAGATAGATAGATAGATAGATAGATAGATAGATCTTTGCAAGAACAGATAGATAGATAGATAGATAGATAGATAGATCTTTGCACGAACAGATAGATAGATAGATAGATAAA